AACCATTCACCACTTAAATTTGGAGTATCGGTTAATGTTTTGGATTTACAATCACATTATTTTGCAAAGGCAAGGGTCATTTGGAAAATTTAGTGGTCTGAATTTTGTGTAATTTGCCTTTATTCTTGCTCAAAGATGGATCCATTTAGGACACCATATGATAAGGCATATGGTGTATTATAGGACAAGATCAACACTTGCACTAATATGTGGAACTCTCATCACATTACTTATGGAAAATGGAGAGGTTGATTTGCATGGTATGGAGTCACAAGACCTCTACAATCATGAGCTTCTCAATGACACTTCCCTAAACAAAATGGGCTATGTATTCAATGCGAGAACAAATTCTTGGCAAATGAAGTAGAACAAGAAAAGAGGAGGACAAGATGATTAAGGTGAGGGGTTTGGTAATGAAGAAAATATCGAAGAAACTGAAGAAGTAGGTCCCTCACAAGCTGCTTCATCTTGCGTTCCTAAAAATATAAGCATAAAGAAAAGAATTTAGCTCATTCTTGAGAGACTTTGACAGATTGATAGGAAGCTTAATGATCACATTCAAGAGTGTCGAATGGCGGCACCTTTTGGTCCTCAAGCGACAATGAGAGATCTATTTACTGTTGGCACAATGTCTGGACAACACATCATCCGAACAACAACCTACTGATCCTTCTTCACATCTAGAAGCATAAATCCTCATGTTCCAATTGTTGATGCCCTTTAAATTTCCATTTTAGAATTTGAACCTTGTGTTTCAAACGTTTCTTAATGTTTTCAGTGTTTTTATTTTTGCATACGTACATATAATGTTGATATTAGATGCAGTTAAGTTGAATGCATTTTTATAAATGTTTCTATCATGATTGTGATGATTTTGTCTTGGTTGATTATGTTCTTGATGTGCTTCCATTAAGGAGGAGCAATTTGTTGATTCATAGTGTGCATGAATGGCATTTTTGTTTGTGGTTTAAAAGGTTGATGTGCATGTGTTAAGGGGGAGCTTAGGTTGTTATGCTTATGTCCTTTTTAATGAATGATAGAAATGGGGAGAAAGGTTGATGAATTTTTATGATTTACTATTGTTTATGAGAAGTATATGTGGTGAAATTTTGGTAGATGGATTTTGTTAGCATGAATGCTGGCTTGAAACCCTAAAGGCTTTATTTGAACTTGTTGCTTGAAATTTGGAGCTGCATAGAACTCGTCTCAAGTGGTTTACGACTTTAAAATACTATCTTGCATATTAATTCAGACTATGTAATTAGAATCTAACAAACAAAAAAATTTCAAAGAGAGGTTTTGATGATAACCAAACCCCTTAAGACGTTTAATGAATTGAAGTTTAAGTGGGCAGTTGAAAAGTCCTACATTGGATCAAAGGAAAATCTAGAAAATTGTAGAATTGGGTTGAAGAGTCGAATATAACGCTCTATATTCAACTCTTCAAGTAAGAAGCTTCGACTCTAACTTACACATTTGACTCTGAAGCAAAATATGGAGAATATGTGCGTTGCAGTTCAGAGTTAAATCTATCAATTTAGACTTGACTCTTAAGGCATCCAGATCCAACTCTAAGAGTTCAAAAGTTTACTTCCAAATTCTAGTTAGTTGAGAATCTTTAGGTGTAAGTCATAGTCAACTCTTTATATTAAGAGTTAACTCTTGCTGCTTTAGAGTTGACTTTAACTTGTAAGATTTGACTCTTGGACGAAAGGAGGTTCTCGAAGTCAAAGAATTTTGTGTAGAATCTCAACAACCCACTTGAGTAAAAACTTGGAAATCATTGATAAATGTTGGAATGTGAAAATGAGAAGGAAAATCATAAGAAAATAAGGGAAATATATTTTGAAGAATACAAGTAAGGCAAAGATACTATGGTTCTTAAATAGAACATAATTTTTTAAGAGCATCATCCCAATAACTTTTTAGAAATGTAACATGCCAAAGACCATTATCTTAAATCTTTGTAATATTTTCAGAGGATCAATAGGGGTTTTGGATGGGTTTGACACGAATTGTGATTGGTAATGATTTGGGCAAATTTTTGTATTATGACCCTCACAATTACACAGTTGACAAGTTACTACATATTAGTGCAGGCAAACAGTAGCTAAATGTCTAGGAATATCAACTATTTGATATATACAGTAGTCTACAATGTTAGGCAATGGAATGTGTGGGGCCATTGATACATGATTCCTTGCTATTTTCAACTTCTTCTTGGGAGAATTCTAAGATGGGCAATTCCAAGATAATTCAGGAGTATCATCAATGATTCTTATGTAAAATCACATAAAATAATGTAGTAGGTTAATAAATGGTATGCACAAACATGAAAGGAAACAAAAAAAAAAAAAAATTTATCATTATATTGGCTATCAAAGTATTATTGACTATCCATTTATTATGTATTAAATATAGGAAAACAAGTTTGTTATAGATAAATTAGGTAAATATTTGTTAATAAAGCAATAGAAAAAAAAAAGTTTTGAAATTTATAAAAGTAATTACTTGTAAATAAGAATATAAAAATAATTATGTGAGGAATGAAAAGAACAAATTGAATTGAAAGAGTAAGGGACAAATAGCAAAAATTAGAAAGTGTGAAAGGTGTACATATAATGGCCTAAGAAAGTGGTATATATAATGGGCTTGTGTAACCGACAATCAAAGTACTTATTTCAACAATAGATTTCTTGTCATTGATAATAGGATTGCAATTATCACGGACATACATCATGTTAGTAAATTTCACTTTCACCAACATACCAACCATGTTGTTGATTATTGGTTGCTAAAAATATTGAAATTCTTGTTGCTGGTCAATGAAAAGATATTAGCAATGTGGGTTTTGTTGATAATATATAAAATTAGCAACATGGTATATGTTGCTAATGCTTCAACTGACTAGAAAATTACAACAACATGTCCTTTGTTGCTAATGTTTGTTTTAGCAACATACCTTTTGTTGCTGATTTTGAAGCTCACTTTTAGGTAGGAAGATGTATTGTGGAAGTATTAGCAACATAATCCTTGTTGGTTAAAATCTATATCATTGATAAACAATCCCATGTTGGTGATAATTAATCGCTTAAAATAAGAATTTTAGTAGTGGTATAGTACCTAGCTTTTATAGGGCGTTTGGTAATAGACGTGTCTTTTGATCTTATTAATTGAGTTTAAATCCTACAACAAGAGCTTGCTTTGAGCCCCTTACCTTATCAACTTTGAAGGTTTTAACCCTTTCACCTTATACTATGATACTTTTAGCCCCTCATCTATTAAAATTAAAGAAAATAATTCTCATTTTATAATATTTTATTAATTATATTAGCTGATTGTTAGTTGACTGTTATGCGACAAAAACCTTCTTTCAGCTAACAGAATTAACAGAACTAATTTTATAATATTTTGTTAATTTTATTAATTAGTTATTAGTTAACTGTTAATTGACAAAAATATATTTTCAACTAACAAAGTTAATAATTAATATAAAGTGAGAATTATTTTCTTCGATTTTAATAAGTGAGGAACTAAAACTTACAAATCTAATAAAGTTAAAGGTTTAAAGTAGGTTTTTGCTATATTCTACCCCTAAAAAATTATACTTCTTTAAAAAATATATATATAATCGTTGTATGTATTAAAATTAAAGAGTTTTTAATTAAAATTTAATTTCACTATTTTATAATATAAATTATAAAATATTTATTTATATTAAAATTTATCATGATCATACTGTTTAAATTTTTTTTTTGGAAATGCATGTATTTCTATCATCATGATCATCAATCAAATCCTTGTACCAACCATCCACATGCTTCCCCATCATCAACTCCAACTCCAAACCGCACGGTCCAATCATAATCCATTACCACGCATGGGCGGCTGCAATTGCTCCATGTGTATACTGGATTTCTGCGACGGGGCCCATGAATAAGCATTTGTCGCCTGCTTACCGGAATCATTGAACGAATTGTCTCCTTATTACATTACTCCTCCAATTTTTCCAAAAACAGTTTTCCTTTCCTTTTATTATTTTTTCCTTTTCGGCCCCAGGGCAATAACAAAGAAAAAGGGTGGGATTTCAAACGCACACTTGAGCTTGTTGAATTATTGGACAATGAAGGTGGGTCTTTAGATCTCAAAAAATCTTTGATATTAAGAATG